GGTGCCCGGGGGGGTGTCCAAGGTGTGTGGGGTGCTGGAGCTGTTCAGCTTGTGACACAGAAGATTTTTTCTTTGCCCCATTTGGGCAAGACCCTCGTGAGAGGGGGGAATGAGGACTGATCAGGGGCTCCTCTTTGGGGGTGGTCAGACACGGTCTGTGTCCCCCTACTGCAAAGCTGTCCCCCACAGATGTCCCCATGTCTTGGACATCCCCATGCCACGGTGTCCCCACAGCTGAGCCCCACCTTGAGGGAGGTGCAGGGTGCCAGGGGCCCCGCTGCCCTGGCACAGGCCTTGCTCTGCGCAGCCCTGCCCTGCCCTTTGCGGAGTCCCCTCAGGGTTGGGGTCGCTGCCAGCAGGGTCCCAGGGAGATGAGCCTGGGCTGGCCGGGGGATCCCCCTCCACCTGCTCCTCAGTCCGGCTTACTGCAGTCCCAGCCCCAAAGGGCTCCGGCAGCACTACGGTAGAGCTGCCCTTCGCTTTGCTTTTGTTCTGCAAATAAATCCCCCCCTCTGCAGCAGCCAGGCGACGCGGCTGAGCTGTGTTTTCCATAGCCCTTTGCTGGTGGGGGGACCCCTGCACTGGGGGGGCCTATGGTGCTGGAGGAGGGGGGCGGCCACGCTGCCCAGACTCCTGCCCTCTCTGGTAACTGGCTTCTGCGGGGATTGTCTGTGAATCGGATTTATCCTGGAGCTGGAGCGGTGCGTGAGGTGAGGCAGGGATCCCTAACGGCTCACTCGGAGCAGAACATCACAGCCCCTCACTTCGGCTGCTCGGTGGCCCTTGTCCCCAGGTATGGGGGGACAGGAGGGGTTGGGGAGGAGAGCAGCACAGCAGGAGGAGAGCTCAAAGGAAGATGTGTGTGATGATCAGGACTGATTTTAATGTGGCTTTGACCCTGGCGGTCTGAGGGCAGCTGGTCTGCAGCCAAGGGCACATGGGAAGGTTTAAGGATGAACAGCTGTGGCTGAGGGTGAGATCGCAGCCAGCAAGCGTTGGGACTGCACTGGTGGAGAGCCCGGAGCTGGAGGCGGGCTGCCAAGCTTGATAAACTGCTTGTCCTGGCTTGCCTGACCTGATGAGCAACGGCTTTATCATTGTGCAAGGTGCAGGGCTTGCAAAGTCCTGATCCTGCAGCTGGACTCTTGCCCATAAAGGTGCTGAGTGCTTGGCTGGGACGGTACTGGATGTGGTGTTGGAGCTGTGCATGGCTACGGTGCGCTGACAACGGAGTGAGAATGATGCTGCGGGTGGTTGGGGATATGCTGGAGGAGCCACAGCTCGCGGCAGCACACAGTGGGCCCCATGCAGAGCCCTTGCTACGTCAGCGCTGTCCTGTGCAGCAGCTCTGAGCACAGCCTGGGAACAGTCTGGATAGACATACCCCGCCGAAAAGGGCTCACGTGCCTTTCCAGCCAGATCGGTCTCGCGGTCTGCAGCAGGCCGCAGCCCCAGTGCGGGATGTCCTGCCGCCCGCACGACCCTGCTGCTTGCGGGCCACTGCTCTGCCCCTGCTCGCTGCTGCGCATGAATCTTGGGCTGCTTTTGGCTGCCTGTCCCTGATGCCCACCGTAGGACTGTGCGGCTCTCAAACATGGGTGTCTGACACGCCTCTGCCAGCTGTATGTGTGCATCCCTGCCCGGGGCTGTTTAGGGCTGCACCTTGCAGGAAGACAGAAAATCCCCACCAAACGTTTGCCTGTTGTTTTCAGGTCCATCAAGATGTTACAGGTACCACTGCCCCTGGATCGAGATGGGATCCTCTTCCGGCTACGTTTTACCACACTGGCCATTGGGACTGTGTTTTGCCCGCTCTTTGGCTTCCTTTTCTGTGTGATCTGGTCTCTGCTGTTCCATTTCCAGGAGACGACAGCGACCCATTGCGGGGTAAGTGACTCTCATTGGCAAAACGCAAAGTCCTCCAAGGTTGTGGCTGCTCGGCTGCGGCAGCTGGCACAGTGGCAAGGCTTCTCTCTTCTTCTGGACTTTCCCATCAGAAGTGTTACGGGATCTCGAGCTTTTAAAAGGGATCTAGGTACAGGCTGGTCAGGCTGGTGGCTCTACTGAGCCTGTTAGTGGGGATTAGGAATAACACTGGTGAAGCTACAGATAAATGTTGTGTCTTGTGGAAGAGTTAGCCCAGCTTTTAGAAAAGGAATTGCTGCCCCTCAGATCTACGAGAGTTCTTCAGAGGAGTCACAAGCACGTGCCTGGGGAACACAAGTTGAGAGGGGTCGCCTGGATCTCCAAAAGGGAGGAGGTTGGGTTCCTCCCCAGGGCTTCCAAGCAGCCATAGCACAAGCGTGGATAAGCAACTGGTTACAAGCTGGGAACAGTGGGGAGGAGTAGGTGGTCATCCTCACACCAGCAGTCGATCCCTGGGCTTTATGGGGTCTGCATTGTTCCTTGCGCCTGTACGCAGTGGGATGACACAGGCTGGCAGTGATGCCGAGATCCTGGAGCAGGGATGGCGAGGCAGGCTGCTGAGGGGCGTGATGGAGCAATGAAACACCAGGGCAGTTTGATTTGGAGAAATAAATAACATGCACACCTAGCCTGTGGTTCTGTCCCCTCCTTGCAACTCGGATATATGGGGCAAGGCAGCAAGGACGCTCAGAGGTGTGATGCAGCTCCTGCTCCTGGGGTGGTGGAGCAAGGGCTGTTCAGCTGCACACAGGAAGAGACAATGGGCTGAGAGCAGGGAGAGGCAAGACAGAGACCTTTGAGGTTGTGGCTGGCCTGGAGAGAGCAGGCAGGGATCCACTGCACCCCTCTGCCAGTATGAGAAGTAGGGGACATCGTATAGAGGTGGCAGGTTCTGCTTGAGGAGCCAGCTCCTTCTTGGATGCCTTGAGAGGAGCCAATCTGGGGAACGCCTCTCCGCAGAGCACTGGGGGGGTGCACAGTTCTGCATGGTCTCCAGGGGAGATCAAGCAGGATCAAGAAGAGTGGATTACCTGGTGCATAGCAGCTATGACTCGCTCGGGAAGTCCCTGAGCTGTGAAACTCTGGAGGTCAGGGGTTTATTCTGGGGCTGCATTGATAGTTTTCCTGTTTTTATGTTCCTCCCTGAACACTGTCTTTGCCTGCTGTTGCTATCAGTCCTCTCCATTAGGATGGGGCTAACAAAACTGTACACCCTCCTCTCTCTCCAAACCTGGGGGCAGAGAACACACAGGAGACCACGACTGAGTAAAGGGAAGGAATAAAGTTCAAAAGCATAAAGCGAAGAAACCCAAGCAGGACCCTGAGCAGGGCACCCCAGCACCCAGGGACTGTCCCGGCAGGGCTGGGAGCTGCGTGGTCCTGGGGGATGAACCAGGTTACAATCAGGTTATGTTCCCTGGCTTTTGAAATAGGAATAAACTTGTTTAGAAAAAAACCCCAAACAATTTTAGCATCTTGGAGAGCTGTAAATACAACAATATGACACACTCCCTGTGCCTCTCTCCACGAGCCACTGTCTCTCTTCCAGGTCCCTAACTACCTCCCCTCCATCAGCGCCGCCATCGGAGGCGAGACCCCCCAGCGTTACGTCTGGCGCCTCTGCATTGGCCTCCACTCAGCTCCCCGCTTCCTGGTGGCAGTCGCCTACTGGAACCACTACCAGAGCTGCCACTGCTCGCACCCTCGCTACCTGCGCTTGTGCCACTTCAACCTGCTGCTCAACCTGCTCGAAAACTTTGCCCTTCTTATTCTGACGTATGTGTCCTCATCTGAAAACTATGGTAGGTGTCTCCTCCTGCACTCTGTGCTGACTGTCGTGCCGGTGGTCTTGCTCGTGGTTGCCGAGGCTTTGCAGAGTTCTGCTTCATGCCAGTGTTTTGGAAGTAATCAGTGTGGAAGGAAAAAACAGTTTGAAAAAATAAAAGGTTGTTCTATTAGAACTAGTATTTACAGAGCAAAGTTATGTCCATAACGTGCAAATAGCTGTGTTCTTCCCAAAATTCTTGGTTGCTGATAATTGGCAGAAACCATAGGCTGAATTTTTTGTATCAAGCCTAGGATCAGGCTTTAGCGCTTGGTTCCCACTTGTGTGCTGAGGCTGTGCTTAATGCATCTCACCGCTGCAGAGCAAAGGCAGGTTAGTGCTTGTCCTTCCTATACCCTCTCTCTCCACTGCTGAGCTTTGGCTCTGAGCTGGCTTCCAGCCTGCGCTCTCTTCCAGCTGTGTTTTAAACACCCGCCCACCAAATTGGGTAAAATTTGCTGTATTGACCTGAAAACAAAATTAGAATTTTTCAGGTTAAATCAGCGTGTGCAAAATACGGTCACAATAGGCTGGGAAATGCCCTTCTCTCTCGTGGTCTCATCTGAAATGAATTTAAGTGCCAGTGCCAGTATCCAGCTGCTGTTTAATCCTGAGATCTGGAGGAGGCACCAGGGTTTGACTTGAGAGGACTCAAGCCCACGAGCCAGTGAGGTGGTGCTTTTGCAGTGGAAGCAAACCCCCTTCTGGGACTTGTCAGCAGGAGAGCTGTGCAGCAGCTGTCCCTGTGCACCGTTTGAGGGTGGCGGTGATGGATGTTGTGTCTGGCTGTGGGACCACTCTGGAGGATGTGGTCACAAAGTCTCGCAAGGAGAGAGGCCAGGCCAGAGCTCTGAGAAGGTTTGGAGCAGTGCTGGTGAGGGGAGGTTGACAGAGGAGGGTTTGTCTCCTCGCAGCAAGGGAGGTGAGATGGGGACCAGGGATGCAGCTGATTTTGTGCTGAGAGGATCTTCCTACTCACTACAGGCGAGGAAAACAAGCTCTTCAAAGGCAGATGTGGTGGGGACCAGGAAGCTTTGCGACTGCTTAGAGCAACGAACTGGAAACGGGCTATGGCCACCAGAGCCCTCCAAGAAGGCCGGCAGCGTGCCTCTGGGGTTGAGGGGTCCAGCCCCAGTGCAGAGGACTGGGTGGATGATTTCTGAGGCTCCCCCCAGCCCACTGCCGCTGTCTGAGCGGGGTGTTGCACTGGAAGCACAGAGCCATGCGGGCGCTGCCGTGATTCCCTGTCAAAGTGGGTATTAGGAGATGTTGCATCTTGCATGCCGAAGTGGCGGGCTGACCAGGAAAAACAGCTAACAAGCGTGTGAGCCCCAAAACTCTTCGGGCTGGTGAGACAGCCAACAGCTCTCTGCGCACGCTGCTCGTTTTCCCACTCACAGATACTTCTGTCTTTCACAGGGCAGTGGTTATTGCCTTTCTGCTCACCTGCTCATCGCTCGGGAGCCATGCCCAGAGTAGTCCATGCTGGGGCCTCTCACTGGCACACCGGCTGTATGTCCGATGCAGCTTCCCACCTTTTGGGTGCTCACTGGCTTCCACTGGGCCTGCATCAGTAAGCCAGGTGGCTTCAGGGCTGCGGTGTCATGAACAGAGTCCAAGGACCTCCCCAGCCTTTAGACTGAGGATGGAGATCCGTAGTGGAGCCCAGTGACCCGGGATGGCTGGATGTGAACCTCCAGCTGTGGTCTAGGGAATGTTCCTGTCCAGCTCACCTTCCTCATCTCCTGCCAGCACTCCCTGTCCCCCATGGCAAGGCATCCCGTTGCCACCCCGCCTGCCTCTGCAGACCAACCTGCCCATGGGGTTTCTCTGACGCATCAGGGCTGGGAGCATGCCCTTAGAAATTCAGATGCTTTTTTGGGGGTTGCATAACTTGGAGCGCATTGTCACCCGAATGGCTCTGCCTGCACCTTATTTTGCAGCCGACGGCTCTGCCTGACTTGTGCAGAGCTGTGTGAGGAGGAGACTGAAGTGGCTGGGCAAAAGCCACACTGAGAGCTGAGTCTAACCCAGTTTTCTGAGATCCTAGTTACAGACTAATCTCAGGTTTGTGGGGAAAGTTACAGACCTTAGCTGCTGTGCTGAGATGAAAACAACCTCAAGTTAATAATCTCTGCAGGACACGGCTCACGTCTTCACCTCTAACAGCTGCCTTTGCCATGCTCCTCACGTGGTTTCCCTTCCCCTGGAATGGAGGGGAGAAGCAGGGAAGATAATTTCTTATGTTCAGGTGGTTGGAAATTCAGCCTGTGATTCGGTTCCTGGAGAAGACGCTGCAAAACCCTCTTAAATAGAAGCACTTGTTTGAAAATAATTCACCTGAAGTTGCATGGGCTTTGTGTGTGTGGCGCTGGGGTTTCATAACCTGCTCTGGCTGAGTGTTGCGCCAGCTGCGTTTCCAGCCTGATCCTAAATCTGTGCTAGTTCAGTGACACACGAGATGGCTTTGGTGCTGGTGGTGAGGTTTATTACAACTGTTAATTGGCAAGTAGATAATGCAGGAGGCCAGAAGGTGGCACTTTCTGGATCTTGAACTGACTCACTGGGTAAACCATCCTCCATGCCTCAGTTTCCCCATCCCTAGAACAATAGTGGTGATGCTGAGCTGCTCTCAAGGGTGCCTGAGGCTTATGGCTGTGAGAAGCAATGGAGACTCAGACCAGGTGCCAGAGCACAGACACACCCTCCTGGCACCTTTGGGATAAGCCTTCCAGCAGCTCGCATCTCCCTCCAGCCCCAGGCTTATGGGTGGCTGCGAGGCACACACAAGCACCTTTGTCATTAAATCCACCTTCTCCTTCTGTGCCTGGGCACAGCGGGTGCGGAGCCGTGCTCTGTCTTCTGCACGGACCCTCGTCCCTGGGCTGCTGCTCGTGCTGGGGGCACAGCACCTCCGGGGTGCTGGGACTCCCAGCAGGACCGCATCCTGCAGAAAGCAGTCCTTCGCCCTCCCAAAGCCTGCCCTGTGTTCCTCTTCTGCTCCTGGCTCAGATTTAACAGGGAACCTGTTGTCTTGTTGATTCAGCAATCCATGAAAATGCCTTCATCGTCTTCATCACATCAGCCCTGGGCCACATGCTCCTGACGTGCATTCTCTGGAGAATGACTAAGAAACACACAGTAAGTCCCGAGGTACAGAAACTTTTCATTCTTCTCTCTGTATGATGCTGGGTGCTGGGGAGGGGATTCTCAGCTGGCGGTGGAGGGCTTTGGCTGTCTCTCACTTGTGAAATAACTGTAACCAGGTGCTAGAGGAGTTAACACCACCAGGTGAAACCGGGAAATGTGATCACCAAAATTCATGGTTCACCAAAACAAAGTGAGGAGGAATCTTTTAATTTCCTATTTTCTGGTTTTCATGTAGAGCTGACATTTGAAAACCACCCCATTCATGTCCCTGTGGGTTGGGTTTGCTGACTCCTTCTGCTTGCCTGAGGATGCCTGCTTCTGAGCTGAAATTGGCTTCTCTGTGCTGAGGAACCGGGAACCTGCTGGTCCCAAAAACTGGGAGCAGCTGCCAGCAGTGGGCAGCAGGTGTTGTGTCATCCCTTTCCTCCAGGAACGGCTGCACTGAGCAGGCCGGCTGTGGGTCTTGTTCTCTGTGAGGGGCCTGGTGGGCTCAGGGGCTCGCTGGTCGTGCAGCGGGCCAGGCAGAGGATCCAGCCAGGCACTTCTGGCTCTGTCACACAGGTACAGCTTTAGTGCTGTGCTGGTTTGTGGCATGAGTGCTGGACCGTGGGTACCAGCACAGCCGCAGATGGGCAGGACAGGACATTCAGCTTCGAAACTCTGTATGTGAAATCTGCTTCTGCGTCCGTGTGCCTTTTCTACACTCGGCTTTACTGGGGTCTCTGGGCTCCCTGGGCCTCTCTGTCCTTTCCTCCTCAGGGATGTGTCTCGCCCAGATGATCCCCAGTACCAAGTGGGGAAGGGTTTCTAGGGCTCCCTGGACTGTGTTGCCCAGGGAACTTTGCAAAGCAGAGACTTTCAAGGGAAACTGTTGGAGGTGTGTGCCCTTATCCTGGGGCCAGGAAGCTGGGAAGGGCTGGGAGCAAGTCTCTCTGAAGGGACTGTGTACAGGGATATGGGGCAGGGTAGGTGCTGTGCGTGGGGTCTGCTCGGGCAGTTACAGAGAGCGCCTTGGTAAGGCTCCTGCTCCATCATGGCTGTTTATCGTTCCCTTCTGGGAATTCACCGCGCCTGTCCCCTTGCTGGCTTATTTCCGAGACCTGGAAATTAAGTTTCCAGCCGTTGTTTGGCTGCAAGATTCCCTATGAAAGGGGCATTTGGAGATCCTGGGGTTCTCTCTCTCCCTGGGAAAAGATCTGTTGTCTCTGGTGGTATGGGGATGATGGGAGCTCAGCAGTCACTGCTTGGCGGCTTTCCAGTAGCTTCCTTTATTTATTTCATCTTTTTGTCATAGAATCACAGAACAATTTGGGTGGGAAGGGACCTTTCAAGGCCATCTAGTCCAACCTCCTGCCATGAGCAGGGACATCCCCAACTCGAGCAGGTTGCTCAGAGCCCCATACAGCCTGACCTGGGATGTTTCCAGGGATGGGGCAGCCACCACCTCTCTGGGCAACCTGGGCCAGGGTTTCACCAGCCTCATTGTGAAACATTTCTGCCTTAGATCTAGTCCTAATCTACCCTCTTTTAGTTTAAAACTGTTACCCCTTGTCCTATTGCAATGGGCCCTGCTAAAAAGTCTGTCCCCATCTTTCTTCTCAGCCCTCTTTACGTACTGAAAGGCTTATCTTTTTTGTTTTTTTGTGAGAGCTTCAAGCCCCTGCATCTCTTCCCCCAGCACTGCACCTCGGGCAATGGCTCCCTGAGCAGCAGTCACCCCCGGGGAATGCCTGTCTGCAGGCGTTGCTCCTTCGCAGACTGTGACATTGCAGCAAGGTGTGAGTTTTGGTTGCAGCATGTTAGCAGCAGCACTAGTCCTGCCGTCAGCTCACAGGAGCAAAAAAACAGATGCTGGCTGTGAGCTGGGCACAGTGGCCATTCCCTGGGCTGAGCTCTGAGCCTTCACGCCCTGATGGTGATGGGTACCTGTCGCTGTGTGTAGCAGGGACTGCAGGCGGAGAGCTCTGGTGTAACGCATCCCTGACCCATCACAGCGTCGGAGCCGGAGGATCAGGTCAGGGAGGCCAGCAGCCTACCTCTGAACATCTGGCTTCTCTCTGCTGGTAATCCAGATGGGTTTCTCCCAAGTTCATGTTAGGGAACACCATGAGCAAAGTCCTGCCCATGGTGTTTTGGCCTGGTGTGATCTGGCAGCGCTTCTGCCTGCAGGTTGCCCTCCTCTGCCATGTTGCCTGCCAGGACTAGTTCATTACCCGCTCCCGAGGAGCTGAGGAGAGCAGGCAGGAGGTGCTGGCATGGCTGTCCAGAGCCCATGACGTGTGTCTGCATGTCCACGGCCAGTCCATGAAGCTGCTGTGGGATGGTGGCCTTGCTGGGGGAGAAGCCTGCGCCCACAAAGCCTACGGGGTCAGTGTTGCTGGGTGCTGTGACCTGGGTCTCGTGCACCCATTGGTGCTGCACCTCCTGCTCTGGTGCTGCTGGGTGGCTGGTTTTGGGCATGGGCCGAGTGGCACAGCGAACCTGCCCCGCTGCCCTGCAGGACTTGCTTGGGCTGGGGGCTGCTGCCAAGCCGCAGCGTCTCTCCGCCATGTGCCGCAGTGGGTGAGGTGTCCTTGTTACCCTCTCCCCGACCGCAGGGCTCAAGCTGTGCTGGGGCACTCCTGTGTCCTGGGGCACATGCCCAAGCCCAGCAGAGGAGCATTTTCTCCCTCTGAGGACATGTTGACCACAGCACATCCCTGTGTGGAAGTGCAGGGGGGCACGGTGATGCCCCGGCTGAATGTGCCACCACCGGGTGCGGCTTCCTTCTCCCATCCTGGAAAGGCCCTGCTGGTGGAGGGGAGCTGCCTGCAGGGGCGTGT